TTCCTGTGCATCTCTGTATTCATCATGTTCCTTAGTTTCTTATAGTATAGCAATCTCTCATTGCATTCATGTGCAATAGTTTGTTTATTAGCGCCCTAATTGATAAGCATCTACTTGGGTTCCTTTAGTTTTCTACCACAAAAAAAATTCCTGTGAATATCTTGGTGTATATGGTATGTTTCTTTTCTTTTTTTTTTTTTATTTACCTCCTTGGATTATATGCCTAGTAGCTAGATCTCTGGATCAAAGAATATGAACATTTTAGTCAATATCCTCATGTAATTCTAAATCATTTTCCAAAATGGCCAGACCAATTCACAGTTCCACCAAGAGTACAAAAGGAATGAAATATTAAACTACTTTAGTATCAGTATAATGCCCTAAAACAAAGGAGGCAATAATCCCACTAAACTCCTACCTAGTCCAATGTTAGGAAAGCTCTAAGCATAATTGGCTATATCAATAACAAAACCAACAAAAAACATATGATTATATTAAGAGATGCAGAAAAAGCTTTTGACAAAATACAACATCTGTTCATATTAAAAACACTAGAAAGCTTAGGAATAAATGGAGTTCTTCTTAAAATAAGTAGTATTTATCTTAAACTAAGAGTATGTGTTATCAGTAACAGAGATAAACTAGAAGTCTACCCAGTAAGATCAGAGGTGAAGTCCATTATCACCACTATTACTCAATATAGTACTAGAAATGCTAGCTATAGCAGTAAGACCAAAAAAAGAAGGTATTGAAGGAATAAGAATAGGTAATCAGGAAACAAAATTATCACTCTTTGCAAATATGATGGCATACTAAAAGGATCAACTAGAATCAGCTAAAAAACTAGTTGAAATAGTTAACAACTTTAGAAAAGTTGGAGGATATAAAATAAACTCACAGAAATCTTTTCTATACCCTACCAACAAAACCCAGCAGGAAGGGAGAGAAAAAGGAATTCCTTTTAAAATAATTGCAGACAATATAAAATACTTGAGAGTTTACCTGCCAAGACCTATCCAGGAATCACATGAACATAATTACAAAGCACTTTTCACACAAACTCTGCCATGGTCAGACCACATCTGTAATTGTGTATTCAGTTCTGCAAGCAGATTTTAGAATTTTAGACGGAACCTTTTCAAAGGATGACATCTTTGTGTTGTGAGGGAATCTAAATTAATGTCATTGGTTATAGGAACTTGGAATATTTAGAAGAGGGAAGAAAAGACTAGGAAGTTGTAATATAGTTAAAGGAAAAAGTATTAATACTCTACCCAGTCTTTTAGGAATGTTTGCCAGAAACAGTTTATGTTATTCTCTATCAAAGTATTTCTAGTTTGTAGAGAAATGTCCAGACATAGTTCCCAATGATCTCCAACAATTTAAGCTAACATAGGAATCTTGAATGAGGAAAAGATTATATGTTAAAATAGGGTTGCAGAGTTAACATTCTAAAATCTTTTCTCAATATCTTCCCTAACCACTGCCCTCCAGTGTTTTCTTGAAATAAACAAAGAGAAATTCTCCCTGAAATCAGTAATTTTTTTTTTAATGAAGCAGATTGGGTCAGAGCAGTTGTGGTTGAACCTCCTTCTGGACATCAGGGAGGTGATGCCATGACATGCAAGTGAATTGGATTAAAGTAAGGGAGGGCTATGCAAAGTCATCATTTCTCTTCCAGAGCCATCTGGGTCCAATGGCAAGATATAGATCAGGACAACTGAACATTGCCCTGGATGCAGTGGGAGACCTTGGCCTTTTTTAAGCTAAGGTCTTTAACAGATCTCAGTTTAACCGAGGCAATGCCCAGTGATGAAAGCTAGGTAAAAAAAGAGGCAGAGAATGGCCTCTTTTACTTAGTCAAAAACAAAAAAAGGAAAAGGAAAAAAAAAAACAACCTGGGAGGGGTTTCTGGCCAAAACAGAAACAATTGCTACTTACATTCATTCTGAGCAGTGTAACTTTAGGGGATGGGAAAGGAGAGAAGCCTTTAGAGTCAATCTCCCAATCACTATAGATGTGAGGAAGGCAATGATTTTTAAAAAGGCTAAAAGTAAAGCAAAATAATTCTAAAGACTAGAATTATTCTTTGTTCAAAGTTTTGGTTATCACTCTTCATCTATTTCCATAATAGTTTTACTAAAAAGGAAGATTTTAATATGCTTCCACTTTAATATGCTTTAATATGCTTCAAGTACTTGAAGAGCTGTTGTGGTCAGTTATTTAATAAGCATTTATTAAGTGCCTACTATGTACCAGATACTGCACAAAAGCTGAAGATTCAGAGAAAAGCAAAAGGCAAAAGACAGAAGCTTCTGAAGAAGCTCATACCTAACAACAGAGACAACAGGCAAACTACATACAAACAAGATATAAGAAGATAAATGGGAATAAATTTAAGATTAATTATGTAGTCAGGTTGAATGTTAAGAAAAAATCAGTGCACTTTAAAGTTTTGGGAAAGGGAAGAGAAGAGAATGGCTTTTCCTTTTTTATGGTAAAGCATGGAACTACGACTCAGAATGGAAGTAATAGAGAGGTTCATTTTGTTTCAGTGTGAGAAATGCATACTAACAATGGAATGAGCTCTTTGAGGTGTTAGTGAGTCCCCATCAATGGAACTGAAATTTTGTCAGGGGTTCATGCCTCAAGTATGAATTGGACAAGATGAATTTGAATGTCTTTTCTAATTGTGGGCATTTAAGATTCTAATTGCCTCAACCCTCTACTTCAAGCTTATTTAGCCTCTAGAGACAAGCAAAGAACACATTGACAAACCCAAGGACTTAATCCCATCCATATGCCTGATTTATTCAGGCTCTTTTCTAGCAGGAATTACATTCCTCAAAATGGAGCCATTAATGAACAGAATAGACTTAATACCAAAGTTGAAGCACAGACTTATTTTATAGGTCAGTTATGGGTAAAGGAATAATCAGTATATTCAGAGTGATTAAATTACATGAGAAAAGATGCCATGAAATCATAGTTGCATATTGCCAGTGACTCCATTAGCTTTTCCAAATGATCTGATTAGGACACATTGAAATGTAATAACACAGAAGCAATGTATTAAGTACCTAAAAACACTCATGATACTTCTTTTTAACTAGGCTGTTTGCCAAACCTTATTTTATACTTTGCTGTTGCACCTTAAATAAGATACTCATGAAGAAATGTAATCCTGGATCATTTTTTTTTCTTCTGTAAGATACTTGTACTTACTAATATGATCTTAATGTCATTTTAGCAGATAAAACAACAAAGAAGGAACTGCATAATAGATTTGTACTGAGGATTTTTCAGGTGTCTTTTTTAAAGTTATGCATTAAACACTAAACAGTCATTGAAGAAGTCACCTGTATTTAATGAAAAGAAACCCATCATATAATTCCATAGCCTTCTCCATATGGTAAGAATTAAAAGAAAATCAAAGTAATCAGGAAGTTTAATCTGTACCCTGGGATTGAGATTTGTAACCAAATTCTTCATGAAAAAAATTAATATAAAAGTGAGAATTAGGATTGTTGTGTCTTTGTAACAAAAATGCCTTCTCTGGTAAAGTGGTATGATAGTACCCAGTACATATATATAGAGTGCTAGAAGCCATATGTCCATTCTGTGTCTATTTTTTTTAAACAAATTGCTCCCTATTGCTTGTACTGACAATAATTGTATGAATATGGTAACATTTTCAGGTGAAACAAATAAAGTTATGATCCTTACTTTTCCTCATCATCCTTTTTATACCCAATCAGTTCAATCGGTTGCCAAGTTTCATATCTACAATATCTTTAGTTTCTACCCCATTCTCTCCACTCACATGACCACCATGCTAGTTTAAAACTTCATTTTTTCATCTAGGCTATTACAGTAACTTTGTAATGATTCTTCTTGCCTCAAATCTCTCCTCTCTAATATCTATCCTTGATGCTTCTACCACAGTAATATTCATAAAGCACAAGACTAATTCTAAAGCACTCCCCTACCCAAGATTCACCACTGATTGCCCTTCATATCAAACAGAATATCTTCTATTTGGCATTTAAATCCTTTTATAATCTGACTTCAGCCTATGTCTCTACACTTATGACATATTATTCCCCTTGTCACACTCTCTGGTCCAGGCAAACTGATCAACTTGCTGTTTTCCTAAGTGAAAAAGCACTTTGTAAAGCACTTAGCACAGTACCTGACACACAGTAGGTGATTAATAAATGCTTGTCTCCCTTGTCACACATAACCTTCTATCTCCTTTCTCTGTGCCTCTATAACAGCTGTCCTCTATGCTTGGGATATAGCTCAACTCAAGTGCTTGCCTTCCTTTCTCCTATATGAAGCCTGTTTGAGCTGCTACTGGTCTTTCCCCTCCTGCCCTGTATATTACCTTGAATTTAAGTAATATTTTTCATACACAGATATGGTGTATGTTGTCTTACCTGACAGAATGTAAGCTACTTGAGGGAAAGGGTTATTTGATTTTTGTCTTTGTATCTTCATAGCCTAGAATAGAGCCTAGCATACGTTAGTTCATTTAGTAAATACTAGATCAACAAGGATGTAATAAGCACCTACCATGTGCCATGCATTGTAGTAAGTGCTGGGGATACAAAGAAAGGCAGGTTCAATTAAAGTTAATCAACAGAGGAAAGGTTAAAGAGGAGTTAAATGAATGTTAAAGCTTAAAGGAAGACACAGAAAGTCTTCTTGTAGAAGTTGAAATTTATATAGCAGGGTGACACGGTCAGACCTGAACTTTAGAAAGATTAATTTGACAGATGAAGGGGGATGTAGGGGAGTGGGGAAAGACATGAGGCAGAGAGACCAATCAAAATGCTACTGCCATAGTCCAGGAGTAAGGTGATGAGGGTATACATCTGGGTGGGGACTATCACCAGAGGAGAAAAGAGAGTATGGAGGAGCAATATAAATTGACAATCCTTTCAAGGAAAAAATTATTCTCCCTGGATATTCAATGTGAGTCTCTTTATTTTCTACAGGGCATTTGTACCACGACTACTGCATTTTTGCACTTCTTCTTCCTAGCTTCATTCTGTTGGGTACTGACAGAAGCGTGGCAGTCATACATGGCTGTAACAGGAAAAATTAGAACTCGACTCATAAGGAAACGCTTCTTGTGCCTTGGATGGGGTAAGCACATTTATAAAAAAGTACACTTTCCATATCTCACTAAATTGAATTTAGAGGGTCAGATTTTGAAATAGGACCATTCACTTTTTTTTTACTTAATTGTTTTTTATCTTTGGAGATATTTGGGGATAGAAATCCTGTGCATGATAATAGTTCATTCTGAAAGTCTGTTCATCATTTGTGAATTGAAAATAAGGAACAATTTTCAAAATTACCTACATAGGTGGCCAATTACAGTTTTCCCAGTGCACATGCCGTAGGACATGAAACTCAGCTATGCAGAAAAGGAAATGGCTTCTGCCAATTTATTTTTTCCTAGAAATGTAAAAACTCTATAATTTTTCAAGACCTTTATGTATGAGAGGTTAGGTATAAATCCCAATTAGGTGCACCAAAAAAAAACTGTGAGGAAAAACTGGAAAGTGATTCAAAAACTAATTTTACATCAAAAAGAGGAAGCCAGATAGAGAATCAGTGGGATCCTTGTTGATGGTGGGCACAAGGAGAACTCACAGATGAAAAGGAGTTGGATGACAGACTGAATAAAACTTTTGCTTCAGCATCCACTGAACAGAGCATTACGGACATTCCTGCTCCTCAATTTCCTATTACCAAAATAGATAGGTGAAGTTATTGACAATATTTGAAGCAAAAATTACAAATCAAATGTAAACACGTCATCAGAACCAAGTGGTATTTACCAAAGCATTCTGAGGCCACACAAGAATGAAATTAAAGGAGCTGGTCAAAATACATAAAAGATGTCTGCTATGACAAAGGATTTGTAAATTCACATATGATACTTACTTGTTGTGAGGATTCCAAAGGGAAATCAAGGAACTCTTTAATAGTGAATCCCACTCTGTATACTGGGCAAGCTGGTGTTGTTGATGGTAAAGGGTAGGATTATGGATACTTATTAAAGCCAACATTCAAGAAAAGGTGCTTTCTGTAAACTATGACTATCATTTATTGGATTTCATTGAGAGGTTACATAGCCATGTGCATAAGGCAGGATTTACTTAACCTTTTAAAAAAATCCATCGAGGTTATTAAAAATCACAAATGAGTTAGAGGGACTATTGTGTCATAAACCTAGTACTTCTCTGGATGAAGAACTATATTGATTAGGGTTTCTTAGAAATTCCTACTCAGATTGATTTTGTTTCATATCATTAGTAATGACCTGTAGTATATAATGAAACCCCTAAGTTTGTATAACACTGAACAGTTCTGTATTGTACCCTCTCCACCAAAAAAAAATCACTTTGCATAAATTTTGAATTGGTTTATCTGTATAAATGTTGTTTCCCACTAGTAATACACATTTTATACATATATATGGCAGGGATTTTAGATTTTTTTTGTATCCTCAACCCCTGGAGAAATGAATAAACTAAACAGTCAATACTTATTGAATGGGTGAATGAATGAAGAGGCTATCTAGTGGGAAAAGATTATTTGAAGACTGATCTGTGAAAAAAAAATGGCAGATGAGTTTTGATGTAGGCAAGGGTAAAGTAGTGAATATAATGAATAAATATCCAAATTATATGCATAAAGTTATGAGCTATTAATCATACTGCAGGAAAGGGAATAGGAAATAATTTCCCATTTCTCCCACCCACCCACTAGTAGAATGTAAGTGCCTTGAGGGCAGAAATGGTTGCATTTTTTGTTTTTGTGTCTCCAGTCCCTAGCTAAATGAATAAAGTAAAAACTTAATGCCTGTTGCATAAATGAGTGAGTGAGTGAATGAATGGATTAGTAAAAGCCTTTCCAGTGGGGATTCTATCTTTTGAAGAACAGTGTGAGTAAAAAAAAAAAATAAAAAGCAGCTGGTGATTTTTTATGTGGGCAAGTGTAAAGAAATTCTTGTAATGATTGAATATCCAAATTATATGCATAAAATGAAATTATGAGTTATTAATGGCCAGTAAGGAAACAAAGAATCATTGCTCATTTTTTAATGAAGATATTGGTCCAATGTGACTATAACCAAAAAGGCCAAAAAGTGTTGTGAGATTATCAAGAAGGATACAAACCAGAAAATAGTATCCTCCTCATATAAAATTAAGAACACTACATATTGCTGGAGTTTCCAAATCTGACATTTCAAAACGAATATAATGGAATTAGAAGAAATCGAGAAAGTCCCCAAATTGACTACAAAGAACATATGAAGGAAGATGCTATCTGCATCCAGAGGAAGAACTGATAAATGGAATTATATATAAACCAGGTGTGGAAACAAGGATGTCCACTGTCACCAATATTATGCAATATTGTATCGGAAATCCTAACAATAACAATAAGAGAAGAAAAAGAAACAGAAGGAATCAGAATAGGGAATGAGGTAACAAAACTATTTCTTTTTTGTAGATCTGATAATATGTGATATAATCACTAGGGTGAGGAAGGGGAGAGGAGGAAAAAAGGAAAGAAATTGACATGATAACTTTATTGTACATTTAAAAGGAATAGAAAATTATACATAATAAATTTGCAGTTTCATGAGCAATCATCTTTTTATAGAAATGTTTGTTTTATTCTATAAATTAAAAATAATTTTTTTAAAAGTCAAAAGCAAGTCAAGTACAATGATTGAGGAGGAAGACAAGAAAGTCACCATATGTGACAGAGTGAAAATGGGTTGAGAGTCTTCATTTGGAAAAGGTAAAGCTTGAGAAAGAATATAAACAAAATCTATAAAATTTATTCATTATGTGACTATCATACACCCAGATTCATTTACCAAATCCTGAAATATGAGGAAAAAAGGGGCCCCTCTTTGAAACTTGAATGAGATAAGTTTAAGACTCATGAAATGATGACTTCACATGGAAATTCATTACCCCGAAAGGCAGTGCAGGGATCCTTATCAATGGATTCCAAAAAAATTAGATCATTGAATGAATGGAATAGTCATAAATGTTTGCTAAGAGAATTTTCTATGCAATTAACCTTGAAGATTCTCACCCATATCTCTTGGTGTGTCTTTTGGCAAGAGACTACAAAGCTAAATGAACCATAACTGCATAAGTACAGAAATTCATATGTTCCTATATTCTCATGGTGGAAAGTGGATGATATGGATTGAAAGTTAGCACATTTCACTCAGTATGTGATTGAATGAATATGTCACTGCTATTATATTTCATCACCCATCTGTGTTTTGCCTTCTGGCTTTGAATCTGTAGGTTTTCTATAAATCAGGATAAACCTACCCTCTTTCAAAAGAGAAAAGGGGGGGAAGCTAGAAAGAAACATCAAAACTATTATTAGCTCATTGTAAACCAATGTCAAATAAAGTAGTTACCTAGCAACATCAGAGCAATGCTCTGGGTTGAAAACCTAGTTGCCGCTTTAATATTCTCATACTTGAAAGAAACCCTGTTTTCTTCTGGAACCATGTTTTGCAAAAATATTCATCCATATGCAGTTCTTCCATTTTCACTTCATACAGTATTTCTTAGGCAAACAGGTGATTTAGAACTGAAACAAAGTTTGGTCTTTGCTTTCCTTGCAGGTTTACCAGCATTAGTAGTGGCCATTTCAGTAGGCTTCACCAGGACGAAAGGATATGGCACTGATCACTAGTAAGTCCATCCACAGTGATAAATCATGTTTGTAATTAAGTTAATTATCAAATAGGCCTCATCAGTGCTCGTTTCCCATTGCTAATGACTTACATTTTGTGCAATGAGTCATTAACAATTGCAGAAATTGCATCAGTGTAGAATTAAGGAGGGGATATTAAATGCATGAAGGTTATAGAATTAGAGCTGGAGGGCTTTGTGGAGCCCATGTTCACAGTTAGCATTTTATAATTTCATTACTATGTCTACCTATTCTGTTCCTTATGGATGTTATTATGCCATAAACATGTTAGGAGAGTGAGGGGCATGGTGATTTCTTTGTAGTTAGCATGGGTAATATCAAGGAATGTTTACAACTGAATAATTCTTGGCACACTTTGACTTCAAATGTCAATCTGACACAGAGTTTACAATGTCACTGTAAAGACACCACATGCATATTGGCATCAAGCCTATGTTGTCACATTTGTCAAGTCAGCCAAACTACATAAAATAGTAATATAGGGTTCAATACAGTTGCTTTGGCTCAGGGAGCCAGCCCAGAAGTGACAGTACTGTTTATTAAATAATCCATATTCAAAAGTGCTTTCAAATGATTTTTAAAAAGTGTCTTAATCTATGTTTGTGTGTGTGTGTGTGTGTGTGTGTGTGTGTGTGTGTATGTATGTGTGTGTATGTGTATATACATCCAAGGTGGGAGTCTGGGGAACAGGAAGGAAGGAGAAAGGCAGAGTACAATGCTTCAGGACTTCCCCACAACCAAATCTAAAACCCTCCATAACAGAAGAGTAGGAATTTCCTGAAGTTTACTGGGGAAGCTCCTTGAGTAAGAAGATTTGAAGCAGAGAGATCAGTCTTTGGGAAGAAAGAGTAGCATACTTTCATCCAGTACCAAATACTAGATACCAAATACACTACAGAGCAGAATTTTTAGGAGGTATGATGGACAATAGACACAGTCAGGTCAGAAGATGTAGGGAACATGGAAATATTCAGAACAAGACAAGTAGAGGATATGGAAGATAGACACGATTAGAGCAGGACAAGTAGGGGCCATGGAAGTTCAACAGAGATGATCAGTTCAAGATATGTAGGGGGCATGGAAGATGGAAATGGTCAGAGTGGGTCATGTAGAAAGTTCATGGAAGATGGGGATAATCAGAACACAGAAAGGAAGAATCAGCTATTGCTCCTATGAGGATTTTGCAGAGGGTTGGGTGTGGAGGGATGGAAAATATTTCTAACCTGGGGGACTCTATATATAGGGCAAGTTGTGGCTTATAATAGGCCCTAACACATTCCTTCCACCTCTTACCTCCTATACTTGACCATGTTAATACCCATAGTTCCCAGCTCCTTTCCTTCCAGGGTAAACCAATATTTTAGAAGGGAGCCAGGGGAAAAGAATTCATGTTATTTGGGTGGTTAAACATGTAGCCAAAGTGTAGCCAAGCAGCTACCCTGGCCTGTGATCCTAACAGTTGGGTTCCACAACTTCCATCATTCTCCTAGAAAGTTTCTGAAGCCAATATTGCACTCAAATACCCTGCAAAGATTGTAAGACAAATGGTTTAATACTGAAATATTGATCACACTTTCATGTTATAATTAAATTTTTGTTCAAAATACTAGATCCTAGGATGAAACTTCTAGGTTCCATAGTAGTCTGACATCCAAAATTTGAAGATTCTATAGTAATATTAAGAAAAAAATAGAGGATAAGCATGTCTCATTGTTAAAGACTAGCCTTTCTATAACCAGAAGGGTTCATTCCATTCTTATTCCATTCTATACTCAGATCAATTATGTGAATTGTAAAATAATGGAATTTCATTATATAATTGATCCTTGATGTTTTTATATAGTGAACATAAATTCATCTACATATATTTTTATTCTTCTCTAATTTTAATAAGGAAACAGAAAGAAGGGAGAGAAGAGAAAAGCAATTATTGGAAGGCAAGTTTTAAAATGTAGAATTCCATTGTTTAATTGAAAGCAAACTCTACGTCCAGAATCAAGACTATTAAGTCCTGCTAGCCTATTCAAAGGGACCGTTGACACATGTGAAGGCATGATTTGGGAACCCTCTTAGGGAACTGAGTCCTGGTTTCCTATTTATGTACTGCATAAACTAAGTGCTTGGCATGCCTCAAGACAAGTCTGTAGTGATCTATTTTAGTAGTTATTACAGCTTTTATTACCATTAATATAAATTCATTTGAATTGTAAGCATCCAGGGTATGAGGAACATAAGGCATATGCCTTAACATAATATCTGTCCTTGAGGATGTTGCAAATTAAGATAGAGAGATTATTTCTTCAATGGATCCATTATTTCATCAATGCGGGCACTCTCTCTGGTGGTACAGGTTATAACCCAAGCATTACTTTTGATCCTAGCTGACTGTTATCTGTGGTTTCAAGTAAAAAACTCTATTGCTGAGTTTGGAGGTGGGGGAATGCGAATCTACTCCATATTCTGGAACCATTTCTGTAAGACTCTTAGCATGACATATATTCTGTTAAGCCCATGGATAGACTGTCCAATATATTTGATTCTTGTCACATGACTGGCCCACCTCCTTTTCCTAGTCTTACATCTCATTGGTGATGCCCTTTTCCCTGCTTCTCCTGCCTAATTCTTTATTGATAACATATTGAATCCCATTCACTCCTACCAAGTGCTTCTCTATTGCCCTTTGGAGAATCTCTAATTTTAAGTCTTAGAAAGAAGGGGAGGTAAAGGGAATTAGCATTTATATAGCCCCTGCTATGTACCAGGCACCATGCTAAGTGATTTAAAAATACTTCATTTGATCCTTACAATAACCCTGTGAGGTAGGTGTTATTTTCCTCATTTTATGGTGGAGGAAACTGAGTCAAAGAGATGTTAATTGGCCTTCCCAGGGCCATACATCCAGTAAGTGTCTGAGGCCAGATTTGAATTTGGTTCTTCCTGACTCCAGGTCCAGCACTCTATCCATTGCACCAGTTAGCAGACTCTAAAAGACCTGCTACTCAGCCATATAACATCACTGGAAAAATACAGATATTAAGAAGATAAGTCTTTGTATCTGGGAAAGGCTGAGAATCATTAAAAGCACTGTATGACTCCCCTTCCCACTCTTTTCTTCTCATTCAATCCTGGGCTATTCCAGCCAAACTGTATGTATTAATTAAATAGTTCTCTGGATATCCATCTATCTGCATAATGAAGTTTGGAGCAGTAGTAGCACACTCAAAAAGAAATAGGGGCCACTAATCCATACAGAAAGTCCTTACAAGCAGCATATTGACTTATTGCTATTATCTGTTTTATCATATTTTTTGAATGTTTCTCAATTATATTTTAGTCTGGTTCAGGCCACCCATGAAAGTGTTGTGTGTTGCATGTTTGACATCTCCAGTCTGAAACATAGTATTCTTTATTCACATGCTTTTTCTTATGTGGGTAATGAAAACAGACTCTTTTGAATGATTTTTTAAGGTTCTGCATTGTTCTAGGGCTTTATGTATATAGCACAATGTTATCCACAATAGGATAATCTGGAGAAACTCATCAACTAAATATTTGAAAATCTGATTTTGATTTAGACTCTGTGCTAGAATCTTACCTAAGAGTGAAAAACATCTCTCTCTTCTTATTTTAGGTCTTGTATAATATTAAGAAATAGAGAATTGTTGAACAAATGTTTCCTTTATATCTTTCAAGGTATCATGTTTGTAGTGTATTCGTGAAGGGAGAGAATTTTAGAGGAGAGCCCATATAGCAACATTTTTCTCTATTGAATTAAATGTTTAATTGTCAACAAACAATAAATATAAGAAGATCTTATATTTTAGAAACCTTTTATTCAGATGTGTGATTGTAAAGGGGATGTATGTTATGGAATATTATTTGCAAAAGCCCATTTTTTTTCCTTTCCTTTGCCTTTATGAAGTAGGTTCCTCAATGTGGGCATAGATTATTCTCATAAAAATTTTGGAAAGGGTCTTATGTACCAATAATTCACAGGTCATAGATGCAGAGCTCAAAGAGAGGTCAGAAGCCACTGAGTCAAATTCCCTCATTTTACAGATGAAAAAAACTGAGGCCCAGGAAGGTTATGGCTTGCCCAAAGTCACACAGGTGGTAAATGTCAGCTATTGATCAGTTGTCCTTTTTCATAATGATAAGGTTCACGATTTTTTCCCAAGTGTTTTCTATTCTTGGTTCTTTTTCAGAAGCTAGCTCCCCCTATCTCTCCCAGGCTAGAAATGCAATGACCAGTCATGGGCCTGATCCCATGGCATAGAAGCTTTAACCTGCTCTGTTTTTTCTAACTTGGGTTGATTCACCAGCCCAATGGCCGTTTGCTTCTAGGGATTCACCATCTTCTTGTTGGACTTAGTTCAAGTATCCAATCAGCTTTAGCTCTACTACAGTGCAGAACTACGAAATTCAAGTGATTCACCAGCCTCAGCCACCCCTAACAACAGGGGACTATAGTCATTCATCACCACTCCTGACATATTTTGGCTTCTTTTACCATGTACTGAGAATTAAAATTGCCTTCAAAATTGTATTATCTCTGGCATAGTCCTCTTTTGTGTACATTCTAGACTGGCTGTTCTCTTTATTTTCTTATTCCTATATTTACTTCTTCATTTAGCATACTGTGGACTTTATTGTTAGAGTCTAAATAGAGTCCAAGGATTCGCTATTATGGATAGAAAAAAGAGCTTATTAAAGAAATATGTAGAGGTCTTTTCCAACTTTTTTTATCTGTTCTTTGTTCTTCCATTTTCATCTTTCAATGCCCTAAAGATGAGCTACCTTAGTTATTCCTCTCACAAATATATCAATAAACTTGCTTTTTCATAAATTTCTTATTGTTTTGTGAGGTAAGATACTTGTGATCTTCTACCATCCTTTTCTGTAACATTTTTCACAGGAATTTATTTTCTAAACTGGTATTTCCCACAGCTGCCATATTTCTCTACTTGGCAGTAGTAGTTTACTAGTTAAGGCAATTTTTAGACATTTTGAGTCTTCTCAACGTGATGATTGATTTAAACCACCTAATTTCCATAGATTACAGTGAGTTTCCATGTTTGTTCTTTAATCCATTTCACATTTTTTACATCAAGTGTTTGTTTAAATAAGTTAAACCAGAGTTGCTTCAACTGTGTGCCATGTCCTTCATTTCTTTTTTTTTCTTCTAATTTGATCTTTGTTCTAACAAGCTTGCAAATTGGCAATATACAAGAGACTAATTCAGAAATGTTTCTCACATAACAACCAGTCATTTCTTTAAAATATAATCACTTTCTTTTTCTTTATTTTCTTTTTTGATGAACATGGTATTTACCATATTCAGTGCCTCATGATTGTCTTCTTGAAGACACTATTCATGTCCTGTAGCAGGGATCAGCAAACTACTTGATGATCTAAGAAATAGTTTTTACATTCTTAAAAAAGTAAAAGCTATTCTTAGCTCTTTGACTGTGCACAATCAGGCAGCGAGCTAGATTGGGCCTATGGGCTGTAATTTGATAATACGTGATCTATAGGTATGGGGCTAATATATATACTCTGCCAGTTTTTCTCTCAAGTCTTATACCTGAACCGTGTAACATATTTTTCACCATCCTCCCTTATATTCAAATTTGCATTGAAATTAGCTGTATTAAAAAACATGTTGTTTTAATTTGGATGATCTTTTTATATTCTTCATATACCTTCCCTACTTCCTTATGCTCTACAGTAGATGTCAGTACATAAGTTGCTGTTATCTTCCTGGTAGTTTTTGGTTTTGGTTTTATTTTTTCACAAATGCTTATCATGAATACTGCAATATGAGATGACCAATGAAATAATCATTCTGGGTGCCTCTGGATGCATGATAAAAGCATGGATGGGGGAGGGGTTGCATACTAAAAAGAAATTTTGGAATAAACTATTGTTCCCAAAGGTTAAAAACAAACAAGTACCTTAAAAGATGGGAATGATGACTTGTCCTCAGTAGTGTGAAAAACTTCCCTCAGGCAACCTGCTCCTACCTATTCTAAACTATACATTCAACCAGTGACTGGTAAGACAGGTCACCTGTGGCAATCTACATGCCATCTCCATTTCTCTAGGTAATGTGAGAATGAATGTCTTTCCTTATATGCTTTCCCATGGCTCTATCCATATAAATTTATATTTTTTTCCAAATGCCAAAAATGAAATAAACAGAAGCTGCTTTTATTTCCATTCAAAATCTAAAATTTGGTGAATTAAGTATGCTGCAAAGATATAGAGGCAAGTAACGCATGCAAAATGTGGAATATGCATCTCTTTGCAACTGTTGCTTTTAAACAAATTTCTTCCAATATATTGAAGGCCTTCAGGAAGAGCAGGTAAATGGCATGTTTGAAACTTTTAAGACTAGCTGTCTCTGCTTAAAAGTGCAGTTGAAAATTTTGATAGTGGATGGCAAATAGCATTTTTAATCCACCCTAAATTTTACTTCGGGGCCGAAAATAAACACAGTAATGCTCACTGCAATGGTAATTTTTCCTAAAAGTTTTAAGTACCTAAAATAATGTTTTATACCAAAAAATTCCTTTCCAGTGAGAACTGTTCAATACATGGAATGCTATAGTTCAAGTCTCTCCCCCTTTATGTGTAATTTTATATGCTTTTCCAATGTTCTAGAATGCTAAAGAGAAATCGGTAAGCCAAATTGTTTGTTTCATGCTTCAATGGTTTTATACTCATCACTAATTTTTGTTAGTTCTTATCTAATATTCTTTCCAGCTGCTGGCTATCTCTTGAAGGAGGGCTACTCTATGCTTTTGTTGGGCCTGCTGCTGCTGTTGTCCTGGTAAACATCAAAATCACCTTATTTTCTTCTCTGAGCAAAGAAAGGCTATTTTACAACAATTAAATTGACTATTTCACTAGTCATTGCATGTTGTATAGAAGTCTTAGCATCTGATGCACTGTTATGTTGATTTTATTTGACTTCATAATGCTCTACAGGAAGTACCTGACTACTCTGAAATCTTATTTTGAATTGCAAGGAATAGGGGGAAAGTGTTCATATGTCTGGGCTTTCATTTATACTGTGAAATTACAATTGTGTAGGGAAGCTGTGGTTAACTTAAAATCTTTGCCCTTTAACACACAACATTTCACTTGTGCATTATTTATTGTAAGGGCCTTTGCCATGCATTCCTATCTGGAATATCTCATAAAGGTCCCCATTTCTCAAGAAAGACAAAAGCATAAGCCAAAACAAACATCTATGAAATACACAAAGGTTATGATTTTTTTTCCTTTTGTGAAACCCAGAAGTAATTTCTTCATAGCTCTAACTATAGAATATCCTCCAAAAATGAACATTAATTCTGCTACTAATTTGCCTTTGTCTCTCTTAATGAGGACATCTCATTTTATTGATATCAAATCTCTTTCTCCTCAATAAATCTGAAGAGTGGGGGGGGGCAGTCTGAACTAAATGCAGAGATCCTCATCTCTGTGAAATTAGCTTTCTAATTGGAAAACTGTTCCTCAGTTTCTTAAATGATTCATGCAATAAATTGGAAGCAAATGGCACAGTTTGCTCAGGACTCTAAATGTATAACTTTCTTTCTTTTAAAATTTGGTCTTTTCTGCCCTTAAATGTTTTTAACATAGCAAGGAGCTAAAACTACACATGATTTACAAGAGAAATAAAATCCAGGCACATGGTGAGATAAGGATCTAAGAAAATAGGAAATATTAGACATGCTTTTATCTGTTGAATTGAAATCTTGATTCAGTGCATAGGATCATTTCCCTCAGCTACTATGTTAATGTTTCACTAACCCTAAAATAAAGAAAACTGTTGTGTGTGATAGAAACACTGCTATTACAGTCTTTGGGGGAACAATCAATTCCTGTCTGCGTGCTACAATTATAACAGAATCTATAACAGACAACATTTCTCCTAGTTTCAATAATAAGAAATCAGAAGATAAATAACTCTTTCCTTGATTAAATGGTAACTTGGCAGTTAGCAATTTTTTTATGAGGAAAGGGATTTATACCCACTAAAAGTGGTATGGATCTTCTTTATAGCATCATTTAAACAGAGTCAAATTATAAAACCCACATGGCTTGAGTGAATTCAGGTTTAACTACTTTGTGTTGAAATCTTCAAATCATTCTATAAACCAAAAAGGGGAAAAATGCTTTCTTGAAATTCCAATATTAGGTTTACTCATCTGTAACAGATGATTCTGTTGCCCCATTCAGAAATAATATCTTGGGTAGGGGGGCCAAAAGAGAAGAAGGAAGAACAAAGTAAAACAAAAAAATATATATTCAGTAATTAAGTCCTGTGAGTGAGTTGACTTCAATTAATCAGTTCCTTTTGATGCATCGCTTTTTTGGACCAATCCTGAGAAGCTGTTATAAACAGTTAAAATGAGAGACATTTCATTCCAATATTTGCATTTCGATGGAGAAAGAAAACTATGTATGATTACATCTCAGCTGAAACATCTAAAAGATTTTTAAAGTGAAAGTAAGAGGAACTATTTTAAAAGGAAATATTGTAAAGTAAAAGGAAATACTGAAGAATATTTAATAGAGTGTACTGTAAAAAAACAACAACAACAACAACAACAGTGTTTTGATAGCCATCTTGAAAAACTAATTTCTTAAAAGATCCCAGTGATCCACCATAGATTTGTCCTTCAGTTGGCTCTCTGACCCCAAAGCCTGGAACAATGACCCAGGTCTGATAGCAAAACATCCTTGCTTCATATACCCAATACCCTAGGTTATGGCCAGATTATCAAAGGTATAGGTAAGATGAGGACAGGCTTATATAACCAACTTGATTTTCTGGTTTTAGGACCATCTGGGGATAGAGGAAAGGGAGGAGAATATCAGATTACCTTGCTAAGAAGAGTTAAGGGGACTGCAAGGAGATAGTTAAAATCTAAGTTTTGTGTATTTACTGCAAAAGATGAAAACTGAGTATGTTTAAAAATTATTAAAGTAACAGTCTAGTATTAAAACTGTCAAGTATTGCAATGTGTATCTGGAAAGTGACTGTGAATGTTGAATTGATTAGAGATTGATTTCAAGCATAATAGATGTTACTAGATTACTTTCGCTACCATTGAAAGGTCAACTGTTGTTTCTATTTGACAGGTCAACATGGTGATTGGCATTTTGGTATTTAATAAACTTGTTTCCAGAGATGGGATCCTAGATAAAAAGCTCAAACACAGAGCCGGGTAAGCTGCAATTGGTAGACTGTGAAGATTCTTTACCAGTGAATCTCATCTTTTCAGTTCCAGATACTCATCAAATGCATTTGACTGTGCTTTGAATTTTGTTCTCCATGTACTGATGTGTTTGGTAGATTTCATCCATTCCAAAAGTTGCAGTTGTACTGTCCTCAGGGAATGTGACCAAAAATACCCAATCATAATAAAACACAAACTAAAGTATTAAGTTAATTTTTAAATATGCTGATTTTGGTGTTGCCCACCAAAAACATTAAAACCTAATGTGTATCTATGAAGTAATTGTTCTTGGATGGGGCACTAAGTTATTCCTCAGATGCCCTTGTTCCTGTTAGTTAAAAGAAAAAAAAAATAGGAGAGGCAGGTTAAAAAAAAAAAAAGCTTATGGTTTACAGATGAAATGCCTGCCAAGTGGACGAAAGAGTTTTTGTGTTTTCCTCCAGAAATTTACCTTTGATGTTTTATGTTAAAATCTAGTTCCTCATGTATGACGATACCTTGTCAAACAGCATTCTTGCTCTGGATTAGTCTTCTTTGCAGTGCTTGTAACTACACCCCACCAAAATGAGCTATTTAGAGTTTTCACATTCACATTTCATCTGCTTATAAAATTGATAAAAGCATCTCTCTGAATTAATTTTACTGTTATTGTATTACCACCATAGCTAATGACTTAATGAAGACATTTCATAAGCAGATCGATGTCAGCTTTCTAGGGTTACATTGTCACCCTTTGCAAGCTAGTAGAAATGTGAATGAAACATTAACTCTCTAGTTTTCCCTTTGTATCTATATATATATTTTATACCTTTCATTTTCACCTACCCTTTCTCTCTCTGTTAGAAAGTAATTGCAGTGCAATTCAGAACTTACTCTGCAATTGTTCCCTTTTCTTTCATAACCTACAGGCTATATCTGATAAGCTATCTAGTGCTATTTAACATTTGTAGTATTTTATCACCTAGTGGTAAGAATTTTGACATTGCTTCAAAGCAGTATTATCTTTGTGAAGATCTTCATGACAAAATAGGTTAGTTACATGGAACATCTACAAGTATATTTTGCTAGTGTAGGATTAATTGCTTTTAACATGTAAATTTGAGATCATTCATGTCATATCTGTGGTTCTGTTTTAGGATAACAAAAATGTTAGTCTAGATAGTTGAGTGAATATAACTTTCCATTTAGTGTTCATACATCATTCACCCTCAAAAAATAATAGTTTGAATAACCTCAGGCTGAGTATACACACACACACACAACCCACTTCTTGATGGTCCAAACAAATCTTGAAAAACTAATTTCCATACCCATAGTTCCCCACACTAATGAAATTGTACATGCAAACAACATGTGTGTATATATGCATATATTCACATATGTTATATGTCATTGTTTTAATGTATTTTAAAATGAAATTTTATCTGTAAATAACTATTAGCTAATTAATGAATTAGAATTCTATTTATATGTCTATTGTGAAAGATAATGATTTATTCACATGAATAAATGCTGAGTGCCTTGGGAGCAATTTTAACTTGCAAATGTATGAAATTCCAAAATACTTGTAGAAATTCAAACCTATTTCTTATTCACTGATGAACACTAATAGCTTCAATGAAAGGTGAAATTTAATTCTAAGAAGCAGAGTAGAGCAAGTAAGAATAAAAATTACTCTAATTGATGAAGTTGCTATATGGTCTTCTTTTCTATAGCAATGAACCTCTATTCTGTCTTTAGCCATAACAAATACATCAAGAGTTCAAATGCTTTTTTGAAATAGTTTTATCAGTTATACCATAATCTATATGAAGTGTAAATAAAAATGAGATACAAATTACCCCTTCAAAATTATCATCATGAAGATAAGGTATAAATTGTACCAAAAATAAATGGGAAAGACCTGAAGTCTGCATGTTAGGGATGGATTTGGAAAACATATAATTCAGTTATTAATATAATTCAGTTAAATAACATTCTTGCATGTAGAAGCATAGCTGGTCTATAAAATAATTTTTATACTGTGATTCACAGGGATTTAATCAATGAATTATGCCTATATAGAGCATTGTCTCTGGAGGGAAAACTTTTTTATAAGATTAATCAATTGTATTAGATACTAAAATAACTAAATATGTGGCACAGTAGCATAAAGAAAAATTTCTGTTAATGTCAATATCTATATAAAATAGAATAGCAATGATTTTCTTAAAATGTTAATGAGGTATAATAGAATGACGAAAATAGAATCATAGAATCATGTGCACTCCCAAATCTCAAAAAGAAAATTCCACTAGTGTTACCTTTTCTTTTCTGTTGAAGTTCCCTTGAAGCAGCAGTTTTACCTTAGCAGCTTAAAGGAAAGGAAGTAGGCTAGGCCATATTGTGGAGAGAGCACTGGACTTGAATCAGGAAGACATGAGTTCAAATTTTCCCTCAGACATTTTATTAGCTAGGTGATCCTATGCAAGGCACTAAAGTTCTATTAGCCTTAGATTATTCTTCTATTAGTAGGAGATAATGTAATATCGTCTGTGAATCTTAAAACATGCTAAATTAAGGTTAGGGATTATTATTGTTGTTTTTGTTTTTGTTAGGCTAATTTATAGCCAGAAGGGTAAATTATATGTGAAAAATTTCTTGAGACTTTTCCAGAAGGAAGAGGTTAGAGTCATCTCAGGAAAGCAAAGCTTTGATGCATCTGGTATGGCATTTTGATGGGAAAATTTGCATTGTTTTCATTCTTGAAAGATGATTGACAGGCAAGGCACGAGGGCCTACAGAGAGTAAGGGATAATATTTGGAAAGGTGTAATTGATTCAGAAGGTTGTCAAAACAAAGTTCCACTTGTATCAGATGGCTTAGGTGAGATGGCAAAGATTCCTCTTCTTCCATTGGCACTCTGGAAAATAGCTATTGCTTGAGCACTGGGCAAATCTTAAACTTTGGGAAATTCAAGTCTTCCTTACGTGTCAGGATCTTTCATTTTACAAAGCAAAAAATTCCTAAAATAATATACCACAAAACAGGTATCTGGTGTTGTTTAAAAAAAACTTATTATTGCCCTCATATTTTATAGCACTTAATAGTAATTTCATCTATGTTAATTTCTTTTGCGTTTATAAGCAGTTCTATTAAGATATGTAGTAGAGTTATTTTCTTGGATTTAAAATTAAAAGGCCTTTGGATTATAGACTTAGAACTAGAAAAGACTCAGAGGACATCTGATCCAACCCACTTAATTTTCATATTGAAGCAGAGAGCATAGGTGACTTTCCCAAAGACACCCAGGCAGTAGTAAGTGGCAAAAGAAGGATCAGAATACAGGTCCTCTGACTCCTGACCATTTTTTCCACTGCACCAGATTACCAACTTTAAAATTTCACCAGGGGCAGCTAGGTGGCCCAGTGGATAGAGCACCAGCCCTGCAGACAGGAAGACCTGAGTTCAAATACGGCCTCAGACACTTGACACTTACTAGCTGAGTTACTCTGGGCAAGTCACTTAACCCCAATTGCCTCACAAAAATTAAAATAAAATAAAATTACATCATGATAAAAATTATTATCTCTATTGTTTTGGGGTTTGGGTTTTTTTTTAGGCAATTGGGGTTAAGTGACTTGCCTAGGGTCACACAGCTAGTAAGCGTCAAGTGTTTGGTCTGAGGCCAGATTTGAACTCAGGTCCTCCTGACTTCAGGGTCCATGCTCTATCCACTGTACCACCTAGCTGCCCCTATTATCTCTATTGTTAAAGGCAAATATTTTGAAGTTAAGAAAGGGATATATAAATTGTAAGAAGAATATCTCCATCATGAAACGTTCTTCTTTCTCATCTCACTCATTCGTGGAATCAGGGTTAGAATTATAATGCTAAAGGTGTCTCAGGCCATTTTGCACCAGGTACCATTGCTTAGGATCAGTCTTGACTTAAGACAAATGTAGAATCATAGATTTAGAACCTCATTATTTTACAGATCAGAAAACCAATGTCCAAGGAGGCTAAATGATTTCTACAAGATCACATGAGGAGTAAATGGTAAAGTCAGGGTCCTCTAACTCCAAATCCAGTGCTCTTTTCATTCCACTATGTTGTCTAGTCAGTAATTATATTTTATATTATTTTATGTACATTATGTTCCACATACACATCAAACACCTCAAAGATCCAAGCTCTTTAAGTCTTGTCACGAGCTTTATTTCTAGAAAAATATGAAATTAGATGAAGGTAATCCTAAAAAGTTTCTTCTAAGTAAAAAAAATGGACTAGAGAGACATCATTTCCCTCATCAATATTTCTTTTTGGAGACGCAAATGAGACAAAAAGGCAGCATAGAAATATACTCTTGAATTATTGGCACAAGGCAAAATGAGATTTCAGTTAAATTACCTTTTATTATAGCAAGCTAAGAAACTTATGCCATGCTTTTAAAATTAACATTTAGTAACCCTTGGCCAGTGGTCATGTTTTGAAGGTCTAATAAATAAATTAGCTTTACTAAAGAGGGAAAGATTCGTGTATACTTTCAACCATGAAGAGACATGTTACCTGTGAGACAATAGAAAGACAAATGGCAGTAACTTTGCCTTAAAAAACCTAGTATGAAAACAGATTTTGAATAGCAATATGTTGTCTCTTAAAAAGCTGAAACAAGCAAAAAGGCTAGGTCCACCTAAGAAAATCTATTTTGCTTCAAAATTTGCTTCAAAAATACATAAGGTTATCTGTCAGGGCTTTCATGAAACAAATTGCATAGGGATATAGTGGCCTTTTTTATGAGTGGAGAGAAGGGAATGGGATATTCCCTTTGGAATGGCATAGTAATGCAAGTGATTCAAGGTCAGTTTATGTTTTTCCCCATCAGATAAAACTACTGTATTTCATATAGGCTCTACTTATATTCCTTTTTTTTTTTAGTTTGGAAATCCCTATTATCCATATTGCTGAGTTGAATTAATCTATTTTCCCACATTTTCAACATACAAATTCCAAAATGTGCAGAAGAACTAATTTATTATTATATAACAAAGGTATACATACCTAGCTAGAAAGTTGTTCTGTAACTTTACAATTATGAAAAATAGGAAAAAATATTATTCCACATATAATCTGAATTTAGAATTGGAAGACAGAAAATATCATAGAAAATAATTTGGAAATACTTTGGTTCAAAGCTTTCTCCTTGGTTTTGCCATGAAAGTATTTTATCATAATATATCAAGGTGTATATTTATTTTCAAGAGAATTGTTCCCCCAACAGTATATGTGTAACATTTTCCTTGTACTTTGGAGTTGATCACATGATGCAGTGGATTGTAAACTAGCTAAATTCCAAGCTAATCTGAAAAAATCCACAAAAATCTTAGCTGACTGGCTAGAGTTTTCAACAAAATGTTCAGACATGGATATTTTGAACTTAATGCTTGCCTGTGTTTTATTAAAGCAGAAGAGTCTATCATCTTTTTTATTCCCAACTAATAATTCATTGTATTTCATACATTTTAGCCTCTATATTCAGACCATCCTAAAACATGAACAAAAATTTAAACTAACAAGAAATTTAAGCATATAAACCCATCGTGGGGAGGGAAATAAATAATACATTGAGAAAGGATTGGGGAAAAAAAAGAAAGGATTGGAAGATTTTTTTGCATATTTCTGCTTGTTTTAATAACTTTTAAGATGTTTGATATTTTCCATCTCATAAAGGTATCCACACATGGTTCTTTCTCATATAAATGGGAATACCTTTCCTGAAGACAGGAGCACTGGTCTGAATAAAGGGATTTCATTGTATGTCTACACTAGCACATGCTTATGTTTAGCTTAGTGTATTCATCAACTTTGATCTTTAGGCACAAGGGCCATTAATAGTGTAAATAATGAAAATATGCTTTGCATGGAATGAAGGCCCAGAGTGTTAAAAGTTAATTTTTTTAAAAAAACTGTGTAGTACAAATGCAGCTTTACAACAGCCTAGCACATTTCATTCATCTTTGATAAGTACTCTTATTTTTCTGCATGAAATCGTATTTAAAAGCTAACTTGCAGTAGCAACGTTTTTTTTGGTGAAAATTCAATATTTTGTTCTTTTTGTGGGTGTTCTGTTTGTTTGCAGTCAGATGAGTGAGCCTCATAGCGGTTTGACGCTCAAATGTGCCAAGTGTGGAGTAGTTTCAACAACAGCTTTGTCAGCCACCACCGCCAGTAATGCCATGTTAGTCCTAATCATTTACATCTTCTTGTTACAAATCTTATACAGTGCATGTAAAAAAATGCTATGATGAAAATTGTGTTTGCTAATATTATAGCTCTGAACATGCTTAAATATTTATAATTGGCAACAGCCTTTATAACTACCATGGGATATTCTGTATAGAAAATAAAATACTAGAATGTTATAAACTTTATGGTTTCCATGTTAATGGTCTTGTTGCCACCTGTAAAGATGCCTGGTGTAGCGGTGGGTTTGGTTTCTGTTGTGGGACTGGCACATAGCATTATGTCATGTGGTTTTCTCTGTCTCTGAATAGGGCATCTCTTTGGAGCTCCTGTGTTGTGTTGCCTCTCCTGGCTCTGACATGGATGTCTGCTGTTCTGGCTATGACAGACAAAAGATCTATCCTCTTTCAGATACTTTTTGCAGTATTTGATTCATTGCAAGGCTTTGTTATTGTCATGGTCCACTGCATTCTTCGAAGAGAGGTAAATAGTTTAACCTTCAGGGAAAAGGGAAATGGATTGGGAAGGGTTGGAAAGGGTTTGGACTTCCTAATGTGTGTGATCTTTCATTTTCTATATTAAGTTCTTTAGAGTAAAACCAGTTACCCAGAGAACTAGGCACTCAGAAGCAGAAATCAGGCTTTAAGAAATTATTTAAAAGCACCACTATTATTCAGAAAGAGACGGTTTCAAATAGATGGGGTCTGCCCACAGGAAAGAGTAACTTCCAGGTACCAGAGATAGGGATGAAAGACTATGAAACCAAACTGAAAGATCAGCATATTTACACAGGAGAATGGTAGATGAGAGGGCAAGGTGGTACAGTTGGATTAAGGCAACAAAAGAAATGGGAACTCCTCATCTGTTTAGATTGCGCTTCTAAAGACAGTTCATACCTCATCCTCTGATCTGTATTTTAAATGATTTCATTTTAAACAGAGAAGTATTAAAGATTAATGAGTAGTTCTTTTGGCTCTTTATTAAATTGCAGGAAAGTTCACTAGTGTATAAAAGAGGCTAGTAGTTTTGATGTGTGTGTTTATACTTAGCAAATAAAAAAGCATGCTCAATTTGCATGATTGGCAGTAATTGTCCATGGCAGCTGGGGAATCTATGATGGCAGAACTCCTTCAGGTAATATTTGAAGTTTGTTACCAGGAGTGAGTGAAGAAACAAGCTATCCTTCACCATCGCAGCCACTGAACTTCACCAGATGTCCCCAGAACTGTGATTTGTTTCAGACTTGATTTGTTTAGTGATGAAATACTATTTTCCAACCTGGGAAAAAGAGTTCTGAGAGCCTGCAAACACTGACACGGTATTTTAGAAGGTTACTTCATGAGTCATTTTAATGTTTGCCCTGGGGATGAGTGGAGACAGGAACACTGAGAACCCAAAAGACTTGGCTCCGTGTTGAGGATTTAAAGAGACTGTTCTACCTTGTCATTTTGCAGCATTTACCTTGTCCATTAGAAATTTTAAAATGTGCACATACATGCACGCATTCATGGTGTTCTGTAAACATAACTATTGTCCTTTACCCAGTCATAGACTTTTAAGGATATTGCCAACCCCCTAAGTAGCTTACAGATGTCAACCTCCCGTGCACGTTTATTGCCTGCAAGCCTCTTATATGACAGCAATCAATGGATTCAAATAGAAAATTTATTTACATTGCTTAGGAGGTAATTTTATAATTAAAAAATATATATATTATTAAAGTTCTAGCTTCAAAGACTGAGTATTCCAGCATCACCAACAAATTACTATACAGAGCTTCAGGCTGAAGAAGCTACCAAATATCAACTATTATTGTTGAGGCTTGTTTGTTGTTGTTGGGTTTTGCTGTTGTTATTACTGAAGGGTAACTTCTTTGAAGATGAGAGTGGTTCTAATGAGACTTTTTCACTGGCATCTAGTTAATGCTCTGTTTCCAAAACATTCTTTGTCTATAATCTTGTTTGAACCTCAAATAAACCCTGTAGGAATCCACTACCTTCATTTTTTTAAAATATAAAACTAAGGCTCAAAAAAAGTTAACTGACTTGTCCATGATCTCATACCTATCAGAAGCAAGACTCCTTCCCAAGACTCCCAACTTCAAATCTAGCATTATTCCATATTGCTTCTTTTTAGACCTTGGATAATAATTATCCAACAATTTAATTCAGTCCAGCATGGCTCCTAAAATCCAGGTACTATGCTAGAAGCTGACAGTGGACCTGAGATCTGAGGACTTGGATTTCAGTCCTGGCTCTGCCACTTTTAACTTTGTGACCTAGAGTCTCATCTCTGAGCCTCAGTGTCTTCATTTAATAAGATGAGTGGGTTGACCCCTTCCAACTCTGAATCAAATGATCCTAGAGAGACAAAAATGAAATTCAAGGCAAGTTCTGTTCTATTCAAACTATATTTACCCTGAGATTTTGCTGTGTTTAATGGTGTAATTAATATTTAGAAGCAATGAAAATCTTAAGTTTCTGCCTCTCTAGGGCATTTTTCATAGATGAAAAAGAGATTTTACACAGGTAGTATGCCTCCAATTTTAACATATTCTATATATAATAAGCATTTGAATATATGTTGATATATGCTGAATTGTAACCTTCAGGTACACTAGTAGAAAGGAAGAGTTCCCTTTCTAAATAATTTGCTTTTTTCTTCAAAGAAAATATTTTAGTCTTCCTAAATGCTCTGCTGACATTAGATAGCCTTAACTTATTTTTTGATAGTCGGGTATCATTATAAAGGCTTATTTATTTCAGTTGTTTTGATTAAAATGGTACAATAATTTATTTCAAGCAGGAATCAATCTCAATTTTCTTACAAGAATAGCAACTTTATCAGAAACCTAATTAGACTCTAATTAATTCAAATTATTCAGGGCAGCTAGGTGGTATAGTAGATAGAGTGACAGGCCTGATGTCAGCAAGACTCAGCTTCCTAAGTTCAAATCTGACCTCAGACACTTACTAGCTGTGTTAGCCTGAGCAAGTCATTTAACCCTGTTTACCTCAGTTCCTCATCTGTAAAATGGTCTGGAGAAGGAAATGGTAAATCATTCCAATATCTCTGCCTGAAAAACCTAAAATGGGGTCATGAAGAGTCAGATCCAACTGGAATGACTGAGCAACAAGAAATCCAACTCACTCACTGAAAGGGTTTCTACTCTTTTCTCTATTAATGGAGAATAAAGCAGAGACAGTCTATTATACATAATAACTTTTAAAATAAGTTGAAATTCATGGAATTTATAGCAGAAAACTCCTTATAAAACATGAATGCCAAACTTCCTTCAATCCCAACACCAAGATGACAAAGCATGTATCTACTACTCATGTAACATCTTCTTGAAAATATTGTCACTTCTCTGCATCATAAATCCTCATTTCAGTTAAAGCTGAATCTATACCAAACTCAATATAAGGAGATTGTGTTACTTAAGGACCAAAAGAATATAATCAATTATTGGATTAATAATTTGATTTCTAGTTGTTAGTTATCCTCCCCTTCACCTGAATGTTTTTAATTTACTTTGAACATATTCTATATCTTTATCTGTACAAACCAATCGATAATTTTTTATTAGGCATCAGAGGTACAGGGACAATGAATGACATAATCCCTTCTCATAAGTCAAGTCAACAAGTATTTGTTAAGTGCCTACTGTGTGCCAGGCTCTGAGCTAAGCCCTAGAGGTACAAAGAAAGGCAAAAATACTCCCTGCCCTCAATGAGCTCACAACCTAATGGAAAAACAGTGTACACATGGAGCTTAATTTGACTAGATAAGAGAATTCACATGTTAATATGCATAAATATAAAGTAAATAAGTGCAAATATATGTAAAGCAGTTATATGCAAGGTAGTGTGGAAGGGAGAGCAGTAACAATTGGGATCAAGGAAGGCTTCATGCCTGCTGTCCTTGCCCTAAGCAACATCATTTGTTGACTCTGTACTTACGTTATTGTTCATAACTAAAAGAATAGATATCTTTCTGCAGCAGGAATCCCACACCTCCCTAAAACACAGATTCCACAAACATTGTACCTGAAGATAAATGGTCAGCCTTATGATACAGATTTTGCCTATAATAATCAAACTTGAATCCTACAGGAGATCCCAGAGACAAATGAGTTCTCTAGTTACTGAATTTCCACTTATAGCTTTTCTTTTCTTGAGTGACTCAGAAAACATGATAATATTTTAGTGTAATCCCTTTAAATTTCTCTAACAATTTATATAAACACTGCACCATATATTAGATGGAGAGAGATTTGGTGTAAGAAATGTACGCAGCAAAACACAATTTCCACTTTCTTTGTGTCTTTTAATATGTATTGTAAAAATGTGCCTATATACTGTCTCTTTAACAGCCCTTTTCTGTCTGTTTCTTTTATTTCTTCTTTAAATTATTTTCCCCAATAATATTTTAAAACACTTTATGCACATTAACTTTTCTAGTTTCCCTGTGAAGAAAGTGGGTGTTCACGTAGGAGGAATGTAGCCTGTAGTATAAAAGAGAGAAAAGAAATGAAATACTCTAATGCTCGCATTTTAACGGTGATGCTGTGCATAGGACATAATTTCTTTGAGAAGTAACCATGCTTTCACAAATCTTCAGCCTAGCATTGTTTGCATATAAGGAAAAGAGAGAGAAGGGGAATATACCAATGGCTGTGTTTCTGCCAGTCCAATTATAATGTTTACACGAAAATTTTCTTTAGTAATTTCTATTTCTTTAATAATTATAATTCACATTTTTTGAGTCAAGACCTAGGTTCAAATCAAGGTTTTGTTACTATCTTTGTCTACCTCAACTGCTAAGTTAATCATTCTGGGCTTCTGTTTCTTACCTACAATATCTGAGGACTGGAGCTATGGAAAGATGGAAATCCTAAGGGCACACAGCAAGGCCCAAGATCCTTATGTCACATCAAGAGGTCAGGCAATAAACAGTGTTTGGTGTAGAGCCTGGAAGACCTCAGGGTGCAGTGGTAGGACAAATCATAAGGCCTAGTGGTCCTACTAACTTTCATCTAACCTAAGCCTTTGCACAGTCAAGTAGCCTAGGATGGTGTCTTGGCAGCCCAGGATCAAAAGAGGGGCAAGGGGGCAGCTAGGTGGAGCAGTGCATAGAGCTCTGGCCTTGGGGTCAAGAGGAGCTGAGTTCAAATCCAACCTCAGACACATAACACTTACTAGCTGTGTGACTCTGGGCAAGTCACTTAACCCCAATTGCCTCACCAAAAAACAAACACACACACACAAATAAATAAATAAGAATGTCAAAAGAGGGGCAAAAGGGAAAACCAGGGGGAAAGAATTGTATTTGGAATCAGCTGACCTGATATCCCCACTCTGTCACTTAATACCTATGTGACCTAGTACCGCTTTGTGCCTTAGTTTCCTCATCTATAAAATAAGAGGGTTGAGCTACATAACCTCTAAGCTCTCTTCTAACTTGATATAAATGATCACATG